TATAAAATATTATTATATTAATATATATATTATATTAAAGAAATATTTCTCATATAAAGAATATATAAATATAAAAAATAAATAAATCATAAAACTTTATTATTTAATTAATAATTTATAATTAATTGCTTATTAACTATTATAAAGAATATAATATATATATTAATAAGTTCAATTGCAGTAAAAGTGACAATGACTTGAGTTAAATACTAAAATAAATAAAATTAAGTAGTTATCAATTGCTTGTTAACTGCTTGATAAGCAGTTGAACATCAGTTGTCAAGCATCTATAAAGTACTTCTAGTATTTACAACTTTTAAAGCTATACTGATCTCATTATCAATCTTAATTCTCTGTTATTGTCATCATTTAAAAAATCATTCATCTCATCATTAAACATCTGATACTTTTGAGAGTTGCAGACATATGTTGAAGTGCTTGAAAAGTAGTTGACAAATAACTACTATAGATGATTATGAAGAGAAATCATTAATGTAAACTGCCACACAATGCACGCTGCCACACAACACACATCTCAAAAAGCTGATTTTTGAACTCAATCTTCCACCTTCAATCATCTACAACATGTCAATCAAAGAAGCTGTAGAGCTTACAGTGACTGAATTCCTTTCACAAGAGACTGTCAATTATACTACTGTTGTAAAAAAATACAGAATTCATTGAACTACACTTATGTGATGTGTGATGAGCAAATCAGTGTCTCAAAAAACTGTCAACTCTCTATATAGATAGAAACTTATGAACTCTCAAGAGGAAGAGCTTATTCAATATATAAATTGTCTTACAGACTGTGGCTTTCCTCCTACACCTCAAATTCTTCAAAATCTAGTTGAAGAAATCCTTCAGAAGCTGATTGACAAGCATTGAATCTCTAGATTTTGTCAACACCACAAGAATTGCATCAAAAGTCTATATTTATGAGCAATTGATCAAAAACATAAAAAAGCTGATAATTCTAAATATTTTCAGCACTTTTTTCAGCTTGTATTTAATTGATTTTTATTTACATTGTCTGTAATTTAATGAGAGGTTACTAATGCTTGAGCATCTTAGCTAGATGAAAAGGTCAAAAAATTCAACATTCAACCATCTAATATGTGAAATCTTAATGAGAAGGGCTTTCTTATGAGTGTCATGCAAATTAGCAAGTGAATAGTCTCTGTACAGCAGCTTAAGAGCAGGAGCTTGCTAGGCATAATTCAGAATGAAAGTAGAGAATTCATCTTTTTACTAGTCATCATATCAGTCAGTGAAAGGTCAACACTGCCAGATCTTATATATCAGTCAGACTTCAGGAATTTGCAAGATATATAGCTAGAAGATTTTGATTCTAAAGAGCATAAGGTCTTTTTTGCTGTCTTTCTGAGTGGCTGGAGCAGTGATCATTATGAATTACATTGACTGCAACAGGTCTTTAATCCTCATACAAAGACTAGAAATGAAGTCTGGTGCCTGCTCATCCTTGACAGCTATTCTTCTCATGTCAATATGAAATTCATCAACTACACTGATCAAAATTGTATTATTCTTGCTGTACTGCCACCTCATTCAACTCATCACTTGCAGTCTTTGAATATTGATATTTTGAATTTTTATCAAAGACATACTCTCAGCAGGTGGATTTATTCTTACACTCAGCAATGAGAGGTGTATTTATTAAAAAACACAACTTCTTTTTATTATTCCACAATGCCTGGAAGCAAGCTGTCATGAAGTCAAATATAGAGTCTGAATTTGCTGCTACTGGCATTTATTCTCTCTCATCAGATCAGATGCTTAGCAAGCTTGCTAGACCAAGCACTCCAGTCACAGCAGAGCCAGTCACACCTACTACCATACAAGAACTGTGATGGGTAGTTAAGAAGTTAAATCAACAGTGAAGAATCTCTACTGAGTTCTGAAAAATTATTCATGCTAGTGAAAGACTAGTTTTTGAAAAAGAGATTTTGCAGCATGAAAATAAGCTTCTATATGAAGCTTTACAAAAGAAGAAGAAGTGCTGTCAACATGGAAAGTCTCTAGGTCTTGTGGATAAAGAGAATTCATATGCTGCTCAATTTTTTTCATCTTCTAGAATTGCAGCAGCACATCAGCAGCTTGAGATCAACAAGACTGCTAAGATTAGTGAGGCTGCTGAAAAAGCAGCAAACAAGCTTCAACAGAATATATTACATCAAGAGAAAGCAATCATAAAAGCTGCAAAGCAAGCTGCAACTCAAGCTCTTAGGCTGGCTAATGCTCAGAAGCAAGAGAGACAAAAAGCTGAGATTGCTGCTCACATGGCTACTCATAAACTTGCTGCTGAGTGAAAGAAGACTGATAAGGAAGCTGCTCAGCAAGCTACTAGAGAGTTAAAGCTTTCTAGAGATCAAAATCTCATTGCCACTGCCAGATCAGCCAGGTCAGCCAAATTCCCTACAAAGGCTGTACAAAGCCAGGGGCCTGGTGAAAAATCTAACCAGGCCAACCCTATACAACCTTCCCAATCTGGTAATCAGTCAATTACACACCTATCAGCAAGCTCCCTATGACCTACTTCTTCTAGCAGTTCCTCCATGTTGCTGTCAATTCCTTCTTCACCCACCCCACAATTATCACATTGTGGCTGCATTATTTGACTTCCATCTAGATTTTTGGATTAACTATACATTTTTATATGATCTATTCCTTCTACTAGATATATATTTTTAATTTAAATTAAATAAATTCATGGATGGTTGAGAAATTGGTGGAATTCCTTGGGTGGTTGCTTGCTTGTAGAGGCGTGCATTGTGTGGCAGCATGCATTGTGTGGTGGTTTACATTATGATAATGTTTTTTATCACCCAACCTCTCTTTATACATACACGGTCCTTGATTTGAATGTTGTAGTCACATGGGGAGAGGTCAGCCCAGCCTTTTAGCGGTGTATGCTCTACTTGCTTCGGAAATATAACGTAGTCCGACACCTAACCGATCAAATTTTCATCCTTATTTGACAATTTTTTAAATTGAGCAACAACCACGAGAGATTTTATATAGAAATTATATAGATTAGATCCTTAGGTCTGTTGGCACTGCCTAATAGTGTGTCCGGGTGTATTACACTTGCTGCAGGTGGGAGGTCTTCGCTTTCTACCTTCCGGATTTGGATCCTCCATCCAAACCTCCGTACGTTCAGGAGGCTCCAGAGGCTTAGCCATCCTAGCTAGAGCTTCTTGAGCCGTAAGGATTCCTTCCTTAGCTATATAGAAACGTGATTTCTCTCTCTTACGCTTCTGCTTAGCATTGGCAGCTCTCAGCTCCATGACTTCCTTGGTCAGTAAAGCAACATTATGCATGGCCGTATGACATCCCTTCACTAGTTGATCAAGAGCCTGATTTGTAGGACTAGAGAGAATTTCCGTACGGCGTTTGATTCTGCTGCTCTGCCGCTCCAACTGAGTCACATTGCGAGGGGTCTTGGGGGTCCAGGAGGATTGAGATCCGTGAGATCCGTGAGCTGACCCCGGGGGGGTAGGAGTATGAAATTGAGTATGTAGGCGAGTAAGAACCTCATCTGGATTGTATGGCACTAGGCCTGTGGCTTTGAATCCGTTCTTTATAGTTATATCCTTCATAGCCTCCTGTCTAGCTGTTGTATAGCTGGCTAGAAAGTCCTCCTTGTCAATATAACTGATTCCTAGTCTCACGCTTTGTTCCACCCTCTTGCCGTACGCTCTCTTTAATGGTGAAAAGCAGCTCACATCTAGTGGCTGTAATAAATGAGAGGAGTGTGGAGGCATATATAATGATATAATGCCGTGATCCAGACAGAATTTGTCAAATCTGGCCGTGGCATGACTGCCATGCCCATCCAACACAAGCAGTCTATATCTGCCCTTCGTACAAGCTTTAGTAGCTCCGTTAAAGACCTTCCGCAGCCAATCAAGGCTAAGAGCGTCTGTGGTCCATCCCTTCTCACTAACGCCAATTGTCCAATCCTTTGGCAGCTTCTTGTACCAGGAGGCTTGATGAAGCTTGCCCTTAAAGATAATCATAGGAGGTAGAGCCCAGCCCGTAGCGTTAACTGCCTCGATCACAGTTGCCCATTCTCTATTCCCTGGCTGTAAAAGAGATGGCCTGCCAGCTCTCTCAGCTCTAGTAACCACCCAGGATGTTGAAATAACCCCCATTGTAAAGCCAATCTCATCAAAGTTATAGATATCCTCTGAAGTAATTCCATACTTCTTTATCGTACGATCCATCAGGGTAAACCATTCGTATATGATCTTTGAATCCTCGCATTGAGCTCGCTGATAGTCGTACTTGCGTGAGAACTTCGTCTCTAGTTCAGAATGCCGTTGTATAAATCTTTCTACCCATCTTCCTCCCACGGTAGTTGTAGTAGTGGATTCTCGCGCCTCAAGTAGTAGATTAGCCATTTCTCGTACGGTCGCGATCCGGGGAGGCTGTCCTCTCTCATCCATAGAGAGTATCCATTGAACTAGAGATTCCTCTTCAGTAGAGGTCAGCTTTCGATTTTTTAGTTGAGCATTCGTGTACGTGGTTCCACCGCGTAGTCTATCGTAAAGCGTAGTATAAGGAAGCTCGTACGTCTTAGCAGCAACGCGAATAGATGAAATTTGCTTAGTTTCATAATCTTTAATAGCTAATAAGAGCCTGGCTTCTTGATTAGAAGGTTCTTTGCTAGGTGTGGCTGTCATATTGAATGATTTAATAGAGTGGGTGATTGGGACGAAAATTTGATCGGTTAGGTGTCGTGATCGGTTAGGTGTCGGACTACGTTATTAACTAACCATGATGACTAATCATTCCTTTTTGCCAAGCATCTACAACGAAGAATCCATTTCACAAGCTCAAGTTACAACTATTGGCAAGTTCCTATCCGGTGATATGTCTCGGCTTTCAATTGAAATACGTCGGATATCCTATACATTGGACATTCCAATTGACCATCTTCACATAATATTTTCTATTCGGCGTATGTGTATGAATCAATGAAACGTATTCCGTTCCCATTGCCTCTCAATATTGGCACAGACATCGTCCATTTATCACGTATCTACCGTTTAATCCACCGTAAACCTGCCAACAGTGGCACCTATATCACCACCACCATCTATCTCCACAGGTTCATCCGTCGCATCCTTTGCGAACAAGAGCTCAATGACTTCTACGCGAAATTTTTCCCATCGCACAAATCCATCTCAAATGCTGTAGCTGCTGTACCAGAGAGTGCGCTAGCTGGTGTTAACATCACGGAAATGGCCAGATGGCTTGCTGGTAGATTCGCTGCCAAAGAGGCTGCAAGAAAGGCGGCCCCAGGCGGTGCAACGTCTATAAGCTGGAAGGACGTCATGGTTCAGGTTGAGAATGAGAAGGGAGGCCGGAGTGGGAAGCCAGAAATTGTATATTTGAAAGACGGAGGCGCACTGGGAGAGGTTGGCAAACTTTCCATCTCACATGACGGGGAGTATGTTATCGCAACAGTTCTCGCGGCGTCGCTTGGTTGAAAATCTTATGGGTGCAAGTCTTATTCCTGTGAATATTGAAATAAAACTCGTCGTGCGAATGACATACATGAGCAATGTGTCGGTTTCAAAGGCTCTTTTGGGGATAAGCTTCCAATACTTATTGAGGTATCTCGATTTTACTCCTCCCAGACTTGAAAGCTGTCACCGCTCCCCCCGTTGCAATTGGAGCCGGTGAATGGGAATTGCATGAGGAAGGAATTTTTCAATTGAAAAACCCCTGGAGAATTACAAGGGCGAAGCGCATTATCTGCGGTTCATCCTCTCTTCACAGGCCAGTTTAGGTAAAGTTCTCTCCTCTGCTATCATAACGGGTGAATTTGCGCAACCTACACCTGGTGCCACTGCTCGCGTGGTGGCAGAGGGTGATCTCAACAGTACACGGCTGTGACGAGAAGGGTGGTTAAACCGCAAAAAGAGAACTTTTTTCTAGGACAACCCTAGCGATATAACTTTCCTACCGAGCTCCAAAATTCCATACTCCCGCAGGTTGATCAGTTCCTGAAGTGATGTTATGCAAAAAAAGAAAGACATTGTTTCCCAATGCGCGTATACTTGGGCAGTTGGGGCAGAAGATGTTGGCTGTGACTAGAGACTTGAGATTTGAAAGGGCTAACTTCGAAGGGCAACAGCTACACCTCTGTATACTAGAAACCTTTGAAGACAGTATGAAATAGCTTGATCTAGCTTAGCAAGATGTTACTGTATATATATTGAAATTGTAAATGACGGACTGAGACACATCAAACTCATACATGTAATTAGCTCTGAACCGGCAAGGAAACATAGCATCACGTGATAACTACTGACTTCGCTGTGCTGTGGCCCTGGACAATGGAAGAATGGAGGTATACAAACCGGCGATAAAAGAATATCCACTTCATATACCCAAAAATAATCATTCTGTCATTAGAACTTGTGCAAAAGTCACTAGATTAGCCTCCTCATTTTGACACTGATACTGATACTAATTTTCATTGACCTCCTATCACAAAGACAATCGGCCCGTTCGATATCATAAACCGGCCCGCAACCTCCAAGCAGGTTCAAATCCTGGTAAGAACACTTGCTCAACCCTGGAATGTTTCATGCTGAGAGGGGATATTTTGACTATGAAACCGAATACTGTGGCTGCTCTAAAGAGACCTTTGTGGATATTCATATTTCGTTTTCCCTGATGCAGGAGGTTGAAATAAGATATTCCCTCCCCAGGGCTTCCAGCGTTGCCTTATGCAAATCCTAAGAGTTTTCACGCACATGTATCTCCATGGGAATGCCTCGTGACTGACTGTTGGATAGATTCCGAAGTGCTCTTTCAAAGTTCCACATTCTGTCCAAAGCTTTCGGGCCGCTGTTCAAGAGACATGTTTAGACCAACTTAAGGGATTTATTTGAGTAAACCGAGTATGCCATTTACGCATCACAGTCACTCTGGCCAGTTCTGCGAAGGCCATGCCAGAAACTCCCTTGAGGAGGTTATTCAAACTGCTGTAGCAAAGAAAATGCGCGTAATCGCGTTAAGCGAGCACATGCCGCGAGAGCAACAGGACTTTTATCCAGAAGAAGTGAGCTTTCCCAATGACAAATTGATATTTCCAATGCCTGCGTCCAACGATCAGTGCAGGCTTGGTCAGCGCAAAGGGCTACTTGGGGGTACTAACGAGTAGCATAGATTGAAGCAAATGGAACCGAGGCGGATCTAATCGCAAATGAAGCAGCATATTTCAAAGAAGCTCAACGTCTACGGGAAAAGTATGTCTCCAAGATAAATATCTTAATTGGGTTCGAGAGTGACTGGATTCGTCCATCGTCGCTGAAGTGGATTCGAGAGTCGTTAGCCCGGTTTCCATTCGACTTCTTCGTAGGATCTGTTCACCATGTCCACACCGTCCCCATTGATTTTGATACCCCATTTTATCACAAGGCAAGAGAGATTGCTGGGGGCACGGATGAGAAGCTATTCGGCGACTATTTTGATGCTCAGTTGGCTATGCTCAAAGCAATTAAACCCCCAGTCGTTGGCCATTTCGATCTTATCCGATTGAAGAGTGATGACCCTGAACGAAGCTTTAAACAATGGCCAGGGATCTGGGAAAAGATCCTGAGAAATTTAGATTATGTGGCAGAGTACGGAGGACTTCTTGAACTCAATTCAGCAAGTCTGAGGAAGGGGATGAGCGAGCCGTATCCCAAGGCTGAGATCTGCCAGGTAGATTTCAAACCATACCCCACGTCCCTCCCCCGCCCCCAGGCCTTGACCTTTCGAAACAAATTATTACCTATCCTAACAATAGGCGATGCAGGAATTTCTTGCTAGAAATGGTCGCTTTTGTCTATCAGATGACAGCCACGGCGTTGACCAGGTTGCACTTAACTACCATCGTGTGCTCGACTTCATCGAAGAAGTTGGCATAACTACCTTGTATAGCTTGGAGTATTGCAGCGATCTGCCGCCATCAAGCAGTTTCGACCCAAGATTCCCCCGCACGCGTCTAAACTCTGTCGGTCTTGCAAATCTCAAGCAGCTGGAATTCTGGTCATAAAGTCTGAACCGAAACATCAAAAACGTCAACCCGTTTTCTCCTTTCCCTGCATGACAGGGACCTGGTACAGCGTATGATGAGACATAGCATATACATCCATATGAGGGAAAGTTTTTCAAGCGTCTCTTATAATATCCACTTCTCGATATTTCCAGGGAAACGGTGTGATCCGTTGTCCTGTGTTGCGAAATATACTGGTATCGTTCGTGTCCAAAATCAAATGCTTTTTTTCAAGGCTTGAAGCCTATACAATCAAATTTCCAGAACGCGGGACGGCAAAATACCCTGGAACCTAATAGTTAGTTCCGGCTTGCATTCTTGTGCCAATAAGATCGCTACAAAATAATAAATTAGCCCTGTCGTTACTTTCCATTTAAAGCAGCGAGTCACGCGAAAAATGTGGGAGGGTGTGGCGTATAGAAAGAAGACTAATCATCTAAGATTTGACGCACAGCACCAAAAGGTGTCAAATATGCCTTCCAAAGTTATTTGTTTGACTTGGGATGTTATGTAATATTTTACCAGTAATGTAATCAATAAGTGAGTGAACCATATAAGTGAGTGAACCACTTCTCACCATTCATACAATGAGAAATGCTCTGCATCAAAAATGTCAATCACACAAAGAAATAAAGCCTCTACTCAGGAAGGAAGGCTTCTTTTAGTCATTCAAGCACTTAAAAATGATCAAATTTCAAGTGTATGAGCTGCAGCAAAGCTATATGAAGTCTCTTATACAACTTTAACTCATTGCATATATAATCATACAGCATATGTTAACACTCTCTTAAAGAACTGAAAACTTAGTCTTACAGAGAAAGAATCTTTTGTTCAATGAATTCTGATCATGAATGAGTGAGATCAGTCTCTCTGAGTTGCAGCTATATGAGAAATGATCAATCTCCTTTTTGTCAGTCAAGAATTCAATCTCCCACTCATAGTGAATGAATGCTGAGTATAAAATATTATCAAACATCATGATGAGCTGAAATTCAAGTTCTTACACAAGTATGATCATCAGCAGACTCTATGTGAGAATTCTAAAATTATCTATAGGTGATTTGGACTCATATAAAATACTATTGTGAAGTATGAGATTCTGAAGATGATATCTACAACTTTGATGAGATAGAGTTTCAGATGAGTGTAATTAAGACTATCAGAGTGATGACTGAATCTGAAAGAGCTGGGAATTCCAAGCTTATACAGTCTGAAGATCAGAAATAAGTGACTGTTATTGCTGAAGTCAATGCAACTGACTGAGCCTTGTATATGATAATTATTCTCAAAGAAAAGGTGTATCAATTCTGCTGATATGAAACAGAAGAGCTACCATATGACTGAGTGATTGAAGTCAGTGAGAACGGCTGAATCACTGGCTAGCTGAGAATCACTGACCAGCTAAGCTTCCACTGACCAGCTGAGCTTGTACTGATTGAAAGAGATGTTCAATAAGAAGACTCTACTCTGTACAAAGAGCAAATATTGACTGTTAATTCTAGACTGATACTAAAGTCATGCCTCAGCTGAATTTGATCAATTTTGCACTGAGAATCAGATCATTGTCCTCTATATGTCATCATATTTCTTTCATTTTCTTCAGTCATTGAATGTTGACTGCTTCTCATCTCTGAAAACTATATACAGACAGCAGATGGAAAATTACATGTGATTTAAGATTAATTATATTGATAAAAAGAAGTTTCTAAGTCTTTATCCTGCAGCTCAGATGCAGACTCTGACTGAGAGCAACATTAAGAGTAGCTTTAGAGCTGCTAAGCTGATTCTGTACAATTCTGAGCAGATTCTCTCACAGCTTAATATCATGATGCATATTCTCATTTTTTCAGAAATCTCTTATAGCTTTCAGATCTTCTGGATAACATCTACATCACATAATGTACATCAATTGAAGCAGCAGACTGAGAAAGTTAAAGAATATATCAAACACTGTACATAGAGCTTACTCAGTTCAATCAATTGTGCACTAAGTCAGCTGGTCAAAAGATGTCAAATGATAATGCACAGTGCTGCTATTCTAGCAGCTAAAAACAAAGAGTTAAGAGCTCAAAATACTAAACAAAAAAGAAAGCAAGAAAGAGACTATATATATATAGCTTAAAAAAGTGCTTTAAGAATTGAAGAAGGCTTGAATTGTGTACAAAGAATCAATGAATGAGAGCAGGAAGTGGTTGAGACTGCTGAGTTGCAATCACAAAAACATGCAACATCATGATGTAATGTCTGTAAGATTATTGAGCATACTGTCTGTACATGCTCTAAGTGTATAGAAAATAATTTATAATGTAAGTTGCTAGTTTTTCTTTATAGTTGAGGCTTTGAAGACATTCTCATTGTATAGAGAGTCGGAAGTGGTTCACTTACTTATATAGTTCACTCACTTATTGATTATGTTAACTAAATTCCGCAATCACATCC